TTTGACTCGAATTTTACGAGATATCTTGCTGCTAACCTTACGAAATGTCTCATATCAAACAAACTAAAAAACTGGATAAGTACGATACACTAATCTAAATTGGGGCTTTAGAATATCTATGTATCATTCGCGACGATCGCCAAATTCGGCTGAAGATTTAACAGATCGCAGTGAACAGAGAGGAAACAGAGAGAGTTTGTTGCAGAACTTGCAAGGATCTAATACAAGTAAGTAATTACTTTGATAATAATGTTATTATTTATTATTTATGTTATTATAGTATTAAACTATAATACAGCAATATAATGCGATGTATTTCTTTTGCATTGCGACATACTATTCAAGTCATGCGGATATGTATTATAATACCGTTTCATAAATATCGCCTTTTTTCTATTTGTCAAATTCTATTCGTGATTGACTGGCATTAAATTAAAGATCTTTGTCTTTGCAAATTCAGCTCAGAAAGTCAATTTATTTGTGTTGTTTGTTATTTTGTACAAAGTCCGATACTTTTTAAATTTTCGTTCTGCGTTACCCAAGTTCTTTCGCGAACGGTATTATTCTCAAACATACAATTTTAAAACATTTATTATACATTTATTAGCATTATTAGCTCTGTTATCGAGATACCCATTTTCCTTCTAAAATAAAATTCTCAAAACTCGTAACTGCGTTTATCTTCACTACACTAATGGCTATTAAATTTTCTGCAGATTATCGTATTGTCAAGTATTACATTTACCGATTTTATTTTCTTTTTTCGATGTAAATGCGCGAGTATCATGCATGCAGCATCTTTAAAGTCGAGTTAAAAACAAGCAGTCGAGTTAAAAACAAGATCATGACTATAAGGGTGCTTTTATGCACGGACTTCTCACTTCGGAGAAGGAAAACACGCGTGAAAGGAAAAAAGAAAGAAAGAAAGGAAGAAACGTGACGAAATAACTGGTCCGCGCGAACATCGCTGATTTAATCGTCATCGAGCTCCCTTGGACTCCCTCGGCGGAATCAGCGCGTTCTCGTCGTCGGCGGTGCGATTAACGGGCGACACGTGGCACGTCGCTTACCGCCGGTCACCCGTGAGTACACGCACCTGTAAACCCGCTTTTCCGGTGGTCGCGCGTGCAATTATCGTGCCGCAATGCCCGTCATTACGTCGTGGCCGACGCATATGTCAAGAGAAGGCAAACGTTAATACGCGAGGAGGAGACAGAAAGAGAGGGCAGAACTCTCGTCCGGTCTTCGATATCTGGATGCGGTATAGCGCATGGATACCGTTAATAAACTGTTACATAAAACATGTACCGGTCTCGCACGCGATATCATTTCACACCTTCCCATGTCCGTTATATACGCGCAAATTGTTGGAGTTTTTATTTAATACGCGTATCCGGGAGCAGCCGTGCGCGTGAATGTTATTAATATATGTAATAAATACATATCGATTCCGCACGCGATATTATTTCACACGTTATTTCTTTCGACGCGGCTGTACGTCGTCGCGAATGGGTGCGTTCCATTGTTGGCTTCACAGGTACATTTGTACGCATATGCTCTATTAAAATATAATATGAATAGTATACATCCCCTCTAAGCCCGTACATTGCGTTGCTTCACACGATTGTTACGTAACTGCAAGCGGACGCAACGTTCTAGATGCTGTTATTTTTTTCCATCGATTTTTTAGCTTTAAATATCAGCGGAGACAAAAAGGCGAATTAATTTCTCTCTACGAAATTTATTAAAAAAGAAATTGTATCGCGATCCCTTATAGATCTGCCATTACTGGACAGCCACGACGCGGGTGTCGTGTACGATGTAGTCGAGCGTGTCACGCAATCACTGTCAAGCCGTGCGAAGCGTGCACGTGCGCGTGGCTGGAACCGATCGTGCCGCGGCTAATCGAAAATTAGGATCGGGTAAAAAAAAAGGCACGCAGCTCCCGTCATTAACTTCGGTAATCGCCGGAAACCTCGTGGTTCCGGTACTCGACTGTCCAAACATTTCGTAAATCCGGACGATGTTATTCGAAACGGCGCGGGGGTGCTTGTCGATATACGCTAAGTGTTATAAATAATTGAATAACGATGCACTTTGCTATATACATTTAATTCACTGCAAAAGTCATAGAGAATGTTATAAAAGGAAACTTTTTGAGTGCAATAGAAAGAACGAAGCTTTTTAAATTATTTATTATATTATATTAAACATTTTACTTCGCATAAAACAAAATACATGTCAAAAGGATAAATATAATCTATTTCAAATAATAAATCATGTTAGAAAGGTTCGATGTTGTGATTTAAATAAGGTGTTAGAAAATTTGTAAAGTATACTTAACATATAAGTATACTTTACGAACTTTCCAACATCTTATTTAAACATCGCAACTTCAAACCTTTATAATATAGTTGAGAATAAATTATAAATTAATAACACCTTTTTTTGCTCATATTTGTTGATCCATCAATCTCCTTACATTGCATTGCGTATAACGAGATTAATTTTCTATTATTTTGTTTAAATTTAGATAAATAAGAGCGAAACAATCTGTATTGTATTTTTATCAAAAACTTTTAATTACACATCTCGCTTTCAACATAATTTCAGTGCAGACATTTACACGATCCGCTTACAGGTAATCGATACTCGCTAATTATTATAATTAATTGTCTCTAATGGGAGGTTTACCTGTTACGATCTATTATGCCACATATGCCATTCTTCTGTAGGATCAATTATTACTCACGTATCGTTAATTGTACTGCGACCCTCAGGTACAACAAAGTCACGTCAGGTGACTCGACGTAACGACCATGCTTACGTAGAAGCGGATCATCAAAAATTAATCGCCGTAGTTCTCGTGGGCGTACGAAAAAGGGAAAACCTTGAACAGCCGGTTCAAGCCTTTATCCGTGCGATGTTCGACAATGTATATACGTATGAACCGCAAGTTATATAACTTTTCAAAGATTGTATAGAACTTCTCTTCACAATTACGCGAATGTGTAATAATTGGATTAAAGTCTAGACTTGTGGTTCTAATATGGGAAATAAATCGTAGAGATGCTAAATGAGAATGCTATCACTCTGATGAGAAATAAATGGGGATTGGGCGCTAATTAAAAATCTTTCACCGTCTGAAAGAAAGTCACGTCATAGAAGGGAGTTAGGAAAAAAGATCCAGGTGAAACTTACTCAGCAATCTCGCGATACGCGTCACGGTGGCGGAACGGAGGACTCCCGACACCACGTGCTTTTTTTCTCAATGAACCCTCTTTGTTCCGATAATATACGTGAATAACGTGACGTGCATTCGTAACGGAGCTAATCAAATTAGTAAGTTAATCGAGGGGGAGCGACACCAGTTAATTCTGATTTCTCGACACGGCGGAAACTTATGACAAATAAAGAGTTAAAGTAAAGACGAAAATTCTTATCCGTCCGTACTTACATGCACGCGATGTTAAAAATAGCTTCGGTTTATTAAAGAATAATATATGGAAAAAAGAGGAAAGATATTTCCATCATGTACGTGTGCGCGAGTTGCAGATCTCGAGTAGAAACTAAACCCTTTGAGGTAACTTCATTATTATTTCATTATTAATGGCGAGTATTACGTATCTCTGGGCATTTTTTTTGTACATCAAAAAAATTCTCGATGGATTTGAATAACATGACAAATTGCTGAAATAAAATATCAAGAAGCTTCTTATTAAATTATTATTTACAGACGCAATAAATTCGTAAAAATAATAAATTATTTTATTTATTTCAGATTATTATTATCAGATATATTATTATCTTCAATTATTTCGTAAAAATTATTATTCATTCTAATTGTTTTAGAGATCTATCACATTATTTAAATCGCAACTCGAATGTATGAAGCTATTTTGCGAGTATCGTTCGCAGCTGCGCCGAAAAATGACACGAGACTATTTTCGCTACAGATTGCGCGGTTGGCGATCGATCAGCATTTTTTATGCGAAAGGACGCATGTGACGTGACGCGGAAAAAAATTTGCATGCCGTCGACACCTTGCAGCGCGTCGCGCGCCGTCAAGAACTATCGAAAAGTCATCGGATCGACATTAGACGAGTGTTTGCAAGCGCAAACTGCGCCGCGCTTGTCGAACTTTGCGTGATCGATGGGCGTGCGCTAAATTGTCTCCCCGGGTGTAACACACCGTTGATACATACGAGAAAACGTTCTTCATCACGGCTTTTCAACAGTCGGTTGAAGTTCCCTCAAGTATTTCTGTGACACTTGCAATTCTAAAGCCTCTTGCACAATGCCAGGCAACAGGCAATAGGAACAGGGAATAGAAATCAGAAATCATGTATAAATGCAGAATAAACAGTGACACAGGCAATAGACACAGAGTTTCCGTCACGTTGGAAATTCTGTGCTTATTGCCTATTGCCAACCAATCATAGCATTTGAATTTTTTAGGTTGTAATTAACGATTTTTTGGTTATTTCCTGTTCCTATTGCCTGTTGCCTGGCATTGTGCAAGGGGCTTAAAAGTTTAAGATTTTGTTGAAGCAAAATTCTTGTTATTGTCTTTTCGAATTAAGTAGAAGAGTGAGATGTCTTTAATTTTTTGTATTCAAGAAGCTATATATGTATTCATTTATTATTATTTTCCAAAAGAACTCTCGGCGAAATTTTTAATTCATGCTTAATTGTCGAGAGATGAAAGTTATGAAATAAAATATGATATTTGTATATGTAGAAGATTTAAAATGTCAATATTGAAATAAAGATTTTTAAATTCTCTTTAAAGTATAATAAGCTACATTCATGGTATCAAAATTACTAAAAAAAAAAGTATTGAAATATTCCGTATTTCTTGTTTAAACCTTTTCGCGACTTCGCAATCTCCCTTTCGTTATTCGGCGCGGTCTGCGCGTTTTTAGAAAGGGCGGAAAATCTGACTGTGTCCGATTCACCCCCGTTGCGACTCTTGGCGCAACGTGACATATGTTACGTGCGTGCACGGAGCGACGCGACACGCGTTCGTGCAAACAGGGTTAAATAATACGCCCCGTGTAATTGCACACCGACATACTGTGCGTGGCTACAATATGCCGAGGCGACATCACGGGGGTGGGCGAAAAAAAAGAAAACAATGACTTTTGTTCCTCCGTAGTCGTTTCTCTTTTTTGGCATGGTTGATTGTCGCATTACTCTAGCTTTAATTATCTATTTCCGATTTAGCGACTTTTTGTCCCATTTTAAATGCTGGAATGGAGATATAATGCAGAGAAAGGAATCTCTCCCTGAGATCGAATTAATTAATTCTTTAGTATATAGCTTGTGTATAATTCTCTGTAAGGTTGCTTCTCATACGAAACTGTTCGAAAATCCAACCACCCGTTCGTAACTAGTTATTTGTGTAACAAGTGTCGTAAGATGAAAATTCCTGGGTGCGGAGTTTACGCACGAGCCGAAGGCAAGTGCGGTAACCGCACCCGGGAATTTTCATTTTTACACACGACTTACACTCCCTATTTTATGTGGCAAGTGCCTGGAAAGTGGTCTATCACGCACGCGTAGCGTGCGCAATGGGGCACTTTCCATGCACGTGTTGCATAAAAAATTTTCTCCAACCGAGAGAGAGAGTCAGATTGACCGTCATGGGTTGCTGTCGCGGAAGACGGCGGTCATCGGACAATAAAAATGTTATGACAGGCTAAAGCGCTCGCATGAGAGGGTTCTGTTTGGCGCGGCGAAGGGCAGGCTATCAAGAAGTCAGCCCTACAACCCGAGCCGAGAAAAGAGAGAGGGAAAAGAAGCGAGCGAGAGCTGGTGGTTACGTGTAAGGCCTGGTCTCGCGGGCGTGAGGGTGCGGTGAAATTGTAGCATCATCCCGTCAAGGACTCCTCCAGCCGGCGGCGATAGCGGCGGCGGTGCGCGGCGGCAGCGACCGACCGGGGGCCGATGGTGGTTCACCGCCGCCTGGGCGATGCTCTCCACGTCGGGCGCGCTGCATTATTGAGCCTGGGAAACGGCCAGGTGGCCCGGGCGCCTATCGGGTCCGTGACGGGCGGCGGAGGGCGATTGTGGGAGGGCAGGCGAGAGGCGGTAGCCCTGAGGGCCTGCGAGGGGACGCAAAGTCACGGGAGAAAGAGGGTTCGCCGTTCGTCGATGGGTCGCTCGGAAGACACGCGACCTCCTGGCTCCTCGACTTTGTGACCGGAGACACATGCGACTCGCTCCGTTGTCGATTTCGTCCCGGCCATTACGCCGCGTTCCGCGAAGGTGGCCATCGCGCATAAACGGAAATCTCGTCTTGTCGCGTCGCTCCATTTTGCATTCCAGTCTCTCGCGTCTTTCTTTCACGAAGTTTGATAAGTATAACTGGAAGCAGATTCGAATTAATGAAAAGCACATCCAACTCGTTCGTTAACATCCAAGAAAAATCTTTTCATCGACTGCAATTTCTAATACTTAAATCACGCAACATCGTGCTTGTCGAACTCGCGTACGTTTGTTTAAATAAAATATTAGAAATTTCGTGCTTGCAGCATGTTGCGTTTTCGATCGTGCTTAGGCCATTAAATCGGGGTTGTCGATTTTACACGGAACGGAGATTGCACGACTCGTTAAAATAGCGTCGAGACAGCCCGCGCGATGATCGATCGCGCGAAAAATCGACGGTTCTTCTCCGCGATGTTACTCGCATCGAGCTTAAAGCGACCGCAATCGGAGAGCGATGCGGAATCGACGATGTCGCGAGCGATGTTTAGCGAATCCTCGCTGTCGCATTACATCGTGTGGTATGCAAAGTGGCGTGTATCTCCTCTCCCCCCTCGGAGAAGCCCGAAGTTAGGGCCACGGCACACAAGAAAATTTAAGCAGTAAAACTTGAGCAGTAAGCAAATCGCAGCCAAGAACTTAAGACATAACGTAAAGCGGTAGCAAATCCAAACTGTTGATTTTCTTACTGCTAACGTTTTACTGCTTAAGTTTGTCCATATACCAAGGCCCTTGTAACAGCGTATTTACAGCGAAGGAAATCGCTCAAGGAAATCCCACGGCGGATAATGAGCAGAAGCGCTGGCTCTCCTTCGCGTATGCATTTCTCCTTGTATAGCGCATGCATAATGCAGAGACGCTCGTAGTTGCGTCAGTGACTCATAGCGACATTGCCTGCGACGTATTACCGTTCGTCACTTTAAAGCCTGGCACTCTTGAGGGGGAAATATCTCGTGCCCTTGTAGGTTTCTCGCGGCGGCATTTTAGCGCGAGATATTATGACTCTCCAACGACTCTTATGGCGTTCGACTTCGCATTTCAGTAACCTTCTTCGATCTTCCCTGAACTATACATCTCGAGCCACAAGATATGACGGATATGCGTCTTGCGGACTTGTCTTAGTTTTTCTTTAATTTTTCTCTCGGCTGCTAAAACATATTGTACTCATTTAATGTTATACCTCTGATATTCTTCTACTTCGTTGATCATATAAAAATAAAATTGTTTTGTAAAAAGTTAATCGTTCTATCAAATCTTCGTTTTGTCAGTATTAAATTTGCTTGATAGCTAGATTAACTATGTACAGCGAGTCGTCTCTTTGATTCCTGTAAAATATATGTGAAATGTTCTACTTCATAATTTAGAATTAAGCGTCAAACGTATCTATGTCTTCCAAGAAGTCGACTTTTATTGCAAACAGGTTCGTCGGACATGGAGGAAAACGGACGCGGGGAAACGCTGTGTAAAGTCTGCGGGGACAAGGCCTCTGGGAAGCATTACGGCGTGCCGAGTTGCGACGGATGTCGGGGTTTCTTCAAGCGGTCTATCCGCAGGTACGCGAGGTAATTGACTTCTCGCCTGATTATAAACAATCTCTGCAAGTGTGATCTCATCCTACAGATTTGTTAATTGCTCTGCCGTTTATTTTTCTTGTAATTGTGCGCCGCGCAATGTCTTTCTTTCCCCCGGGAGATTTTTCTTAGCGACTCGTAAAAGGAAGCCTTTGAAATTGCGCAGGAATCTGGATTACGTGTGCAAGGAAAACGGGCGCTGCATCGTGGATGTATCGCGGCGCAACCAGTGCCAGGCCTGCCGTTTCACAAAGTGTCTTCAGGTCAACATGAAGCGAGACGGTACGTTCTGTCGGCGATTAATAGAGTTCCGAAGCTATCGGTCATTTATGTTCGCGGGGCAATTGCAGAGATAATTCGCGTCACATCTCAGCTCTATAATATCGCGACGGATTCTAAAATATACCAGTCCCGAGCGCTTGCCTAATCTTACTGACCGTTGTGCATAAATCCGCTTCTAATAATAATGCGTGTGTTTGTCCATTGACACCTCATTTGTTAAAGAAACGAAAAAAATGTACATTGTGATATATCTCCCGATTGTTAAGGCCACCGAGCGGCACTCGACATGTTTGCACGGAAATATCCAGGCTGTAGGAGTGTGGCTAAGCGAGAGATGTATATTCTATTTTCTGACAGTCGCAGAACTTCCTGGCACCCGACAGATCGAGTTTTAACTTCTCAAAGTGTTTCAGCGTTTGATTGCAGCGCGAAATCACCGCGTATTTTCTTGTGTTCGCGGGTAAATCACAATTTCTAAGTTGCTAATCTCGGAAATATGCTAAATAAGATACTCGTTAATTTGATATTGCGTACAAGAAAAACGACGAAGGAATCTCCGTCGAAGATGAAGAAATAAAACATTTATTAATTATCTTCTTAAAAACGACGTTCCTCAATCTGTTCAACAAGGCAAGACAATTGAAATAAATTTTATTATTCGTGTAGATATTAGGAATGCTCTATTCCGCTCTACGTGCAGGATAAGCCTCATATTCCGTATTGATACGCAAAAAGCTGCGTTCCAACACAACGCGGAGCTTTTAGATGCGCTCCGTAGAATAGAATATATCCGCAAAGTGCTGCGAGTTGAATATTACAATGCACGGTGACGCGCTCGGCCCGGCATGGCGCGGGCGGCGCGGCGGAAGGGAGACTGCCTGGAAAAAGCGAAGTGTCCACACTTTGCCATCTCACATCCCACACATCCACATGAAACTCTATACCTCTGCTTACCGAATGGTAGGATCCGGTGGCGAGCGGTGTCAGAAGCAGCCTGGCGTTCACAGCTTTTGTAAACACCTCCGGCCCCCTTATGCGTCGAGCGATAATCCAAACACTTGATTGCTGAGATATCAATTAGCGAGGAGAGAGGCGGGAGGGTGCCATTAAAGGGCCGCTGCACTCCTCGCGCCTCTTTCTTCCTCCCTCGTGATGCGAAAACGAACACGCAATTGTATGGAGTCGTAATTATTATCTATTTTAATTGGACCGAGTTATAATTATTATCTATTAATCTTAAATTAATATAATGATAATTATTACTTTATTAGATATTTAAAAGATAACTTAATGAGCATATATATATTATTCATTAAACTGAATTAAAAATAATTTAACTAATATAACGCGATTATATAGAATATCCAAATATATGATGGTACAGAAATTTCCGATTAGAGACGGAATTTTAACGACGTCGTCGTTTTTAGCTGTACAACACGAGAGAGCACCGAGGAGCACGTCTTCTCTTGTTGCAGCGGCGAGGAGAACTTCTTCGGGGCTTTACACGGGCATCCCTAACGTCTATCATCCCGCAAGCAGCACCTACCATCCACTTCTATATCCCGCATTGTTCCCCTTCAAACCCACGGTACCAACATTCACCCCGTCCGTCGGTAAGCAATAGATGTAAAGATCAATGAGTCGATATATTTATTCTTTCCGCGATAAAATATTGTATGTTGTCTTGGCAGCGCATTTTCTGCCACGACCGTCTCCGGAATCTTTGTCTATGACCACTGCCAAGGAAGACGAAGTTACCAGCTCCGAGGAAGCGGCAACTGTCGATGTCAGAATCGAATCGAAAGGTATAAATTGGTTGTGATAAATAATTTAGAAGTTCGCTGTTGATTTGTGACTCTCAAGTCGCGATCTCAGAACGTAAAATTAGTATTTCTTTTTACCGCGCATGTAAGTAGGAGATTCAAGCAAATTGTCTATTTGTTGTAGAGGAACTAATGAGTACTCGCTTAGCGCCGCCGGTTATCACTTCCGTCTCATCGGAATACGCCATGCACAGCTTATCTCTCCTGCCGACCGAAAATATCTACGAGTTCGCGGCGAAGTTACTTTTCTTCGCCGTGCGATGGGCGAGGAGTATACATTCCTTTCTGCAAGTAAGCTCTAATCAAGTTTTCCGTCAAACCAACTTAAAGATATTCCTATCGTAAAGGTAAAATAGAACAGATAATTAAAATAACACGTAAAATGAAAATTTGTACAAAATTAAATAGAATTTGAGTTAAGATCGCAAAATAGCCCTTCGTACTCGCAAAAGTTAAAAGAGATAATCACGCTGTTGTCCTTTCTTACAAGCTTCCTTACAGAGACCAAACTATCCTTCTGGAGGAGTCTTGGAGCGAGTTGTTCGTGCTGACAGCCGCGCAGTGGAACTTTCCCGTGGATGAGACCACCCTGGTGCCCGTGGATCTGCCGATAGAGCGGAGGGAAGTTCTCCTTGATAAAGCGAGGAGGCTGAGGGAACTCTTAGCAAAGTGCGCCGCGTTGAGGGTGGATCATTCGGAGTACGCCTGCTTGAAGGCCATAGTCCTCTTTAAGGCGGGTGAGCAAGTTAGATCAAAGCTTTCAATCTCTTCCTTTCAAACGATTATTCCTTCCTTTCTTTTTTCCTTGCTTTATTCATCTGAATTTTTAGGCATAACTCGTACGTATATTGCAACGTCATATTTGTATTACTAATGTTCTCGAATTTTATAATTCTCATCGATATAGTTGTGTTCAGTTGCTTTTCGTTTTTAATATAAATTCTGCTTGCTTTCATGAAAAGCTTGGCAAAAAACGACTTTTGCTTCATCTATTTCATAATTTTTTTGACGTTTTAACTTTCTTTGACATATTTTCTGATCGTAGAGTCGCGAAATCTCTGCGAGCCGGGACGAGTGACGGCGTTGCAGGAGCAGACGGTAGCGGTGTTCTGCGAGAGGGATGCGCGCAGGGTGGGTCGATTGCTGCTGCTTTTACCACCGGCGCGTGCACTCTGCCGTGCTACCCTGCACGAGCTGCTGTTCAAGCCGACGGTCGGCGATGTCAGCGTGGAGCGACTGTTGGGCGACATGGTCGGCGCCCTAAGGCCTACCTAACTGCTGGCACGAATGAGCCCCTTTTGCTCTTGGGATATCTGTGCCGTGTACGTTTTACCGACACCCCTTTATCGGCGATGGCGAAATATTCAGACCGAGGGATGATCATGCCGAGATAAAATTGAAATATACTTTTGCGTCGTAAAAGATCTGTCTATGGAAGAAATGCGCGTCTACGTGAAAAATCGATTTATTTTCGACATCGACCTCTAAATAATTTACTTTCCTTAAAAATAATTAACGTTAAAGCACATAAATATCGTGATCGATTTTGACGTCGTGTAAGTCACGTAATGGGGTTGATTGTTTTAGATATTGAAGATTGTTAGAGTATGAACGTAATGGCGTATGTAATTATTATCGTTGATATGATTATTGGAACAGTCTATGGTGTTGACACGGAGATAGAAGGACAGAAGTGTTCTATATCTACGATTCTGTCACCGATATCGATCACTTAAAAGGTCTTAAGGATATTGAATCTAGTCCAGTAGATTTCTTGCTCCCCCTTCTAAGATAACTTTATTTAACTTTAGTTAACTACGATTGACTGAATAGTCCCTTGTGTTACTTTATATAGTGAAAATTCCGGAAAAGCCAATTAAAGCTGATTAGTGACGTCCAGAATATTCTAAATAAACTATTCTAGTAGACTAATAATTGTGAATGGGACAGATAAGCAATAAGCGATAAAGATAATTCTTGTTGCCAGCTAGCTTATCGAATTATGATACGACCGCGTTGGCCGTGCCGATAAAATGGGCAAAACGGTGATAAAATGACAGCAGAAGGGAAACGTATATACGAGATTTCGTGACGCAGCGACAGTTTCGCTCGTCGGACTATCGATTCACGATGGACAGAATTATGGCGCTATTCAATGGCATCAATTCTTTCCGTGTGTGTATGTGGTATTATACTTATATACATAAATGGGCTTTGCGCAATGTAATATTTATGCACCTTAAGTGGATACATATATGTACATACCTGTCCTAGATATAAGTAACTTTACCGACGACCGTAGCGAATCGTAAATTAGATGATGTAATGCATATTAAAGCGGCACAAACGCGTATTCGTGTAATTACTTAATTAATCGATTAATGGTCTCGTTCATTCCGTTCTTCGTGCCACTAGTCGGATATATCTGAAGCGAAAAACGATTGTCGTCATTTCCAGCGTTACTCTCGCTAATGTTATCTCTGTATAGTATTAATTCTTTGCGCCAGAGCGACCGAAGATTATCTAATCGCGAGTTGGTCGCTATTGATGCCTGTCGCATCATTTTCAAAAATTGTTCTCCGTAGTAATTAAACTGGAATAAATCCCTTCAGAAAAGACATACACTTTTCTTTCCCTCAAAATAATTTTTCTTTATATAAAAAGCGCTTGGCTAATGCAATTTTTCTATGTAATTCAAATCATGTTACGATGAAAAACTTATGATAAAATATACTATAAAAATTCTTAGTTCATGTTGCAAGTTCTAGGTTCTTAGAGAAAGAAATGATTTTTTAAACAGTAAGAAGAGATACATGAAACACATAAATAAAATAACAGAGTTATTGTATCATAAAACGGAATTCTGCGGAGAATGTTTTACCAGCGCACTTTTTCACTACTCAGTTGACATTTCAGCTGAAAGATCTTATACATTTTCTTTATGCAAGTAAAAATAATTAATGCATTAAAACATGCTGGAAATCGTTAGTATAATTAATATGGAAAGATGATGGCGAGGGGACGACATACACGCACTATTTTTTTTTTATTAACTAGAATAATTTATTTTTCTCTCATGGTAGAAAAAGGAGAATGTATCTTAACTCACGAACTGCATTGTACTTATATATATACAATTACATACAATCCTCAATTGAACGTTACACATAAACTCATTATACATCGATTTCTCATTACTTCCTTGTCCTCGTGAATGCATTCCCGAAAGAAAGAACTGCTCGCTATATTATCTGAAAATACGATCGGCCGGTTGTTCAGCGGAGTGGGAAAAGTCGTTTCGATTGTAAGTGTAGTTGCGTGTGAATTCTCTTCTCATTCTTGCGCGTGGACTGAAAGAAAGGAGACAGGGAGACAGTGGAACAGAGTTCGAGAGAGGAAAAAAAGGTGGAAAAGCGGAGAAGTTTTCATACGAAGGAGCTGTGCGCGCGCGTGTGTGTGTACATGTGTGTCTGTACATTGCGTTGTATCTACGTGTGTATGCGTTTACAGATGGAAGGATTTTCGGATGGACGTTAATTATATCGATGGGAGCATTTCGTGACGGAAAGATTTTCGAGGCTCACATTCGCATTATCTCGTCAGCACGGTTATCTCCGTCTGCCGAATCGCGGCGTCGCGATTCTCGTTCGTGTGTAACCATTCTCGGACAGTTAAGATTACTGATAGCAAGCGGTAGCTGGAAGAAAACGAAAACGCCCGACCGAGCGATGGCTCGAGAAATTCTCGACCACGATTTCCAACACGAGGGAAGTACACTTGAACTGGCGGTGTGCTCAAACAATTTCTCAAATATCTCAAATGTCTCGTGTTCATTGGATTATAAAATTTTGTTAAGATTTTTAGAAAATTTTAAAGTAGTTCTTGCTCGAAACTTGAAATTTCTTCTCTTTAGAAATGTTCGACATTATCGTGAACCGTTCAAAGTTTCAAATGCATCTCTCCCTCATTTTTGCTCTGCCTCGACTCGCTCGGCCGTTTTGCTCGAATATTTTTTCCATGATCGTTTTTAGTATCTAAACGGATATTACTTAATGAACAAACGAACAAACAATAAAAAAAGAAGAGAAAGAAAAGATCTCTCTTCGAAATCTACTCGTGAGTAACCTGCTCTCTTCCGTGATCTGCCGGTCGCTCTTTATCATATACGTGTTACATATTTTATATACTGTTCTCCTTAATATTTTTTTAACGCGCTTACATTCAAAATTGATGTTTATTAGAGTTACACAGTTGATTTCCAATTAAACCTGATTCACCTGCGTGTGCCCGTTATTTTCTCGTTCATCCATTACATTCTCACTCTTTCTCTCATACTCTCTTTCTCTCTCTCTTTCTCTCTCTTGCTTTCTCTATTTTTTTCTGACAATTGCAATTTTCTTTCTTTTTTCTTTTCGTTTATGTGAGGAATTGTTCTCGTTCTCGTTTGCCAATGCTCGCTTACGCGCGTGCTTCAACTCGATCCTCGCTTCACCTCGCTTCCCTCCGATCGTTATCGACCGGAATAATCAAAACAATAAGAGAAATGCGACGTTATATGTCTCCTAATGGTAAAATCAACGGTAACTAGCGAAGTCATTAATTAATGACTATTTCAATTATTGGTACATCAATTATTTTCCGTTATTGATCTCCTCATTAAAACATATCGTATCTCTTATTGTTATAGTTACAAACCAACGTTCGTTTGTGCAATTTCGACAAGAGACGAATAGTATATACAATACATCTCGAGCGCATTTGAATTTTTAAAGAAGCGGAAAATTGCCGTGCCGGATCGCGCACGCTTCATATTCAGGATCGATCGAGGACCGAAGCTCGCAGGCGCGTTAACGTTACATAAAGAAAAAGACGCGCGTACATTCGTGCATGTGTTCGCTGAATCTCTCCTCTTCCTGATTTTCCGTCGCCTGAATCCGCGACGAAATATCGCCGACGCTTTACTTCTACCTTGGCTTTTTCTCGTGTTTTTCCTTCTTTTCTCTTAAAAGATAAAAAAAAAAAAAAAATGAATCAAACACAACGGCATTTCTACTATTTTCCTCCATTTCAACACTAATATGTAAGGACAAAAAACTAACAGATTTCGGCGTAATAACAAGTCGCTGTGAGCCGAAGGCCCGAAGGGAGTTCCGAGAGAGCGAATCTGAACAAGTCCGGATTTTCGGGACGGCTCATTTCTTCTTGCGCGACTCGGCCTCCTACGCGCTTTCTTCGCGGAAACTCGGAATTTTCAGACGAATCGGCAAACAGCGAAATATAACAGATTGTCGGCTCTGACGATCGTCGTTACGGATTCTCGATGACGCCCTTTATTCGCAATCGCGAATGATCGATGTGATTATGATTATCATGCTCTATCTCATAATCCTCTTTTTTCCTAGAGAAGAAAAAAGATATTTCAATATCCTTCTTTTTCTGAAGAAAAAAAGAGTTTCTACTATCCTGTAGAAAAATTGAAATTCTACGAAATTTCCAGAGAATCGATGCGACCCCCGAAAGTATTTGGCAGTGATGTGTCTCACCTTATTAATTAACATTAATATTAATTAAGGATGTTTATATTCCTTCTTAATTCGGGGCACATTATTCGCCGGAATTCCGCGCTAATATTGTCAAATCTGGTTTTTAACGAATCTTGACAGAAATTTGTACAACAATAAAATTAAGAAAGAGCAGAGAAAAATTCTGCGATCGGGAATATTGGAAATTCTCGAGAAAAGTCCGCAACTTCGGCGACCCTATACTATATACATTCGCGAGGGGAAGCACCCGCAGGACGTCGATGCCCGAGAAAAAAAAGGGGTTGTATCGAGTTCCTGGGAGTGCTCCATCCCCCCCGACAGAGCACGCAAACGCAATAATCTATTATCTCGTAATTGTTTATCGTCGTCGTTACGCACGCACGTTGCAACTATTTTCTATTGTATGAGGGGGTGGCGGAATCTGTGGGGGTGGGGTTCTTTTGCCTGTGTTATTAACATAATTGTCGCGCGTTGCTATGACCGTTCGTCTCGTACCGGTGCGTTTTTGCATCGGCATTCGAATTTGTTAAATCCGCCGGCGATGACGAGCGCAGAATCTGCTTATTCCCATCTCGAGGATAATTAACGTTACAGCGAGTCGATAATTATTATTACAGGCTTGCCTCGCCCGGCTTCCTCTGTGCACGCAACTTTTTTCCGCCTCGCGGAGGAAAAAGGATGGATTTCTTGCGGACAGCGTTATACATATCGATTAGCGACGAAGATACTCGTTTGCGAAGCCATTTTAATCTTCAGCGATGTCGTGATTTCAATTGACGCTTTCTCTCTCTCTCTCTCTCTTTGACAAACTTCAACGCAATGAACGAAGGTATATTATTTGCATCGATTGCAACTCTCCTTTCACGATTGTTTCTTAGGAGAGAATTTTTTCAACGAGAGAGATTCTGTAGAACTCATTCTTGAAATCACAATGTTACATACCGAGCGATATAAATAATTGATTTTATTATCACTCGGCCAATTTTTAAATCAAATTTTTCTCTAAAGAAAATTCTTAGTAAAATATTATCATAGAGAAAATTTAGATTTGCACGAAATCGGGAGAGGCAAACAATGGTTTATGGAACATTAGTTAATTGCATCGGTTCCAGTAAATTATGGACCGCGTATTGATCGCTGTAACATTATTCATCCTCTGTTTCTCTAGGTTTCGTTAAAATAAAATCTTCCGTCAAGCAAAATTACGCGCTACATCATGCCGAGTGACGTTTATAGCTTACGCTTACGTTTATAGCTTGAGAATCTTAGAGGTAGTTTGCATGTAGGCGCGTCGCGACGCCAGGCGTCTCGACGCCGGTGCTTTCAAATCCCCATTGGTCTATTGTAACAACTATTGCACATATATGATCTGATATATAATGTGTGTATAGAGAAATCGCGTGACACTCGATCGTGATAAAAATAAAGGGTGCGTAGAAAGACATGGTTATTTTTGCAAACTGCAAATATTAATCGTAGTTAATTAATTAACATGTAATAGGTACGTTTAAATGCCATTCGGTTTCCATAACTCCCCGTCGTTTCTCTCTTTCTCTCATTCTCACGCTCTTTCCCTCCCTTTCTCCCATTCTCTCATCTTGTTCCCTTTCACTCTCACACTGTTTCGCACACATTCGAAATCTCTCACGCATTCTGTTATCTCTGTTAAGTATTGTATTAAAGCAAAAGACAGAACTGCAAAATATATATGGCGTATGTGGTGTATACATATATATCGATGTATATAATATAAATTTCTATGGTAAATTTGGGTCATCAATAAACTCTTAAACATTTATTACAGGCGGAGAGAATCGATCGTTTCTTTTTCTTCCTTCCCTGTAGCGTGTGTACAGCGTAACACGCACTATAAAGAACCTCCCGTGCGTCCAAACTGGAAGAAAGCAGAGATCTATCGAAAGTATATTAAAAGAAGTCTTTGGATACTAAAGGCCGTTGCACGTAACAAAGTTTTAGTCATAATCGTAAGGCCGTAAGAAAATAGACCAATCACAGTCGATTAGTCTCCTTGAGCTCGAAGAATAATCGAGTGTGATTGGTCTATTTTCTTAT